TGCAAAATACAGAGGTCTAGGTTTTGGTTTGGGGGCGGGGGGGGGGGAGTGGGTGCGTGAGTGCGGACGCAGCCAGAAACACCACACAAGCAGACTGAAGGTAGCAAGATGACAGCAGAAAGCCAAGAACAGCTAGAAAAGCACTTTTAGTGTGACCCTAAGAGAAAGCTAAGAGCGCTTTTTGGATAGTGCTGGCAGGGAAGAGAGGCTTGCAATGCCTAGCAAGAAAACTGCCCTCTGTCTGATGTAAGCCTGTTTATTTGCAAAGAATTTACACCAAGTCCTATAAACAATTGTATTATATGCATCTTATTCTAGTTACACAGTAAATGGTAATATTGTTGAAATGTACCTGAATTTCTGCAGTGATAGCAGCACTTAATGCAGACTCTAAACCTCCATCAGCCATCAAACTGCCCACCAAGAGGTCAATCATAAATCGACGGCCTGGACTTACATTCATTTCATTTCCTGAAACTAACAAAACAGAACAAACATTTAATGGGCTAGAAATTCAGATGCTCATTTCATTTCCTGAAACTAAGAATGGAACAAACACACTGGACTAGATATTCAGACACCAAACAAACAGTTTTCCATCATTAAATCATACCTGCACTGGGTAAGAGAGCTGAAAGAGCCCTAGCTCGCTCCTCTGCTGTTGGCAGCAACACAGACCACCCACTCTGCAGCACTGCTTGAGCAGCTGACTGTACAGTATTAAGAACTCCAGCGTTACTTGCTAAAGTTACCACGGACTGTTTCAGGCTATTCAACAATACGCTGCCTAAACCCAAGCCAAGGCATTCTGGATCAACCTGGTGACTGATGGCAGCATGTAGCTGAAAGAAAAAGAATCAGTTTCATTTAGAGGTGACATAAGAAATGAAGTTGAACAAAGTCAATCATGCAGATACTGAATACAAATACATCTACTGGTCTAAATACAAGGAAATGTTTAGAAATAAACTGCAAAGCTAAAGTAAAAATACAATTACACCCGAGTAATATATACACTTATGTCAGCCAGTACCTCAGGATACCTAGTGAACAATAATTACCTCAATTTAGAAATTACCTAGACATCCCTGTACACATCGTTCTGTATTATCATGGACATAATGACATCTTTAGGAAGCTAGAAGTACCAGATTTGCCCCAAACAGGAAACTCATTTTTAAAAAGGCAAATTAAAACACTGAACACCAAAAGCCTTTTCAGCAAGTGGTATATTCAGCACAAATCCAAGATTAGTCAATTTACGTTTTAGTTTTACAGTTCATCTTAAATCAAATGCAAGAACTGTTTAGAAAACATTAAACCAAGAGCAAGAAAATTCATGGTTAGGACTGAAAACCCACCCTTAGCTTTCCACCTTTTGGAACTAAGATGCAGGAATAGCTCATTGTACCAATTTAATTTTAAGTGAACAAAAATGTTTTAAACACTTAAAAGCCACCATTTTCTTCCAACCAATTTACTGAAGCATTTTATCTGAGTGAGAACTCAGACACATAAGAAAGCTACAGTACCTGAAGTCTTAGAAGATTTAAGGTTGCAACAGCCATACATTCCTTCTCCTGTGGTGGTGGCCAGTCAGAGGTGCCATCCATTCCCTCAGTCACTTGTCTCAATAGGAGATCTAGCTGTTCAAATGTCATTGGGCAAACATCCACCACAAACGGTACACGCAAACCAATGGACCATTCAGAACAAGATGACCAGGCAAAACTCTACGTATGGAAAGGAAGAGTAACAGTTACTTTCTCTCTAATCAATGATAGGCCTATTATGAGATACCAGTGCTTCATTTAAGGAACTAGGCTCAGGAGCTATATTGTGACTTTCAGATTTTTGATGAGGTGCAGGATGAATGTGACTCAATTCATTTACATTATCAGCAAGCACTCCCCTCTTGCCAACAGCTAAAGGTGTCCAACAATCACAAAAAATTACTATTTCCTATCATGTTTCTCAGAGTCCTTCTATGCCAGTCCAGACACCCTACTTTAATTTTGTTGGTGGAAAAGTTAGGACTGATTAATTCTTAAAACCTATACTAGCAATTGCTAATGTTGTTAAATGCTATTGCTCAGGAAGTCTTACTGAGCGGGAAGGCCAGCTAGGCCTTTTTGGAGAAGCAACTACAAACAAACTGGGGGGGAGGGGAGGGGTTGTGTCTCCGTCTGTTGGTGGCATGAAATATCCACGTGGCACAGCTGGTACAGGAACCATTTAGACCAGTGGGGCGCAAAAAGTTCTCTAGGGGAAAGGGGAGGTGCAAAGAAACTTCGACCTTTTCCCCCTTTAAAAAACAAACAATCATACAAATTAAAGCACAGGTTGGCTTATTTTCAACAATTTAGTAAGTTTCATAACTACACTAGGCCTACTATGCCTTTACAATTAATTTTGATTCTCATTTTAAAACTCATTTAATGTTTAATAATTGATATTAAAAAGACAAACTGGCAACATATATAATAATAGTTGAGAGCCCAGGACCTCTCGCTTGAGTCAGATGCTCAAACATTAAATCGAATGAATGGGCTTCATCTGTGTTTCCCCTCCACCTTCCAGCATGAAAAACAGTTTCAGATTACAATTAATGCGGGGAGAGGGGGGCACGACAAATTCTGTGAATGGTAAAGCGGGGGGGACGCGACTGGAAAAGTTTGCGTGCCACAGATTTAGATCATAGGGAGAAGTAGGAATTAAATTACTGTACTACACTCGTCTAATTCCACGGACAGGGTTGAAGACAAATCCTGAGTAACAGATTCAAAGCTTACCTGCGCAGGCCCACAAGCAATTCCAACAATGTGCTTTCTGTCTAATCCTGGGAGAGCAGTAGGCTCTGGTTTGGTGATCCTTAAAGTATCAAAATGCTGGCACTGATCATTGCTCCCCCAGCTGTGCACTTCACTATCCTCAGTAAGTGCCAAGCAATGGGTAGATCCAGCCGCCACATCCACCACTTTTTTCCCTGATAGCAAAAAGTGAACAAATATTAAACTTTTCTTACTACAAAGTTCACATACATTTTTTAACAAAAAACTATTAATGGAATAGCTTTTGTGTTTCACCAACACCAACAACTACTAAAACCACAATTAAAAATGAGCAGAGTTAATACGTCAAACTGTAGTTTTACCTTCCACGTTGATAGACTGGAAGAGTCTACCCCAAAAAAATTAGAAAGGTTTAAGAGACTTAAGCTATCTGAAGTGCCGAAGTGTACAAGACTACAAAAATCTTGTGTTATTTTGCATCCATTTAGCTTAGTTGTTGATTTAGAAGAGTTTGTTGGCATTTCCACTATTAAATGGAAAAGTGATTGGACAGTGTCACATGCTGAAGTCAATTGGTGTTGCCACACAACTCAGAATTTCCATGGCTCTCAACAGTTCTATTCACGTATGTAAAGTTAAGCATGTGCATGTTTACAAGATTGGAGCCTAAATGCGTTTTACACGCAAAAATTCTTCAGTCAGGCTAAGTGAGAAAAGCAGTAGGAATAAAGAGAAAGCCAAGAGTATAGAAACAAGAATTTTAAAGTATTAAAAGTATTTTAATAGAGTAGCATAACAAGTCTGTTGGAATAACAGAAGTAAAATCTCAGATAAAAGGCACAAGGGGTGGCAAATACACTTGTTTAATACAAGTAAGCTACAATTTGACACCAATGAGAGCAGTGGTGAGATTCTTTAAGTTAGGATACAATATATGATAAAAGAAAATTTTTCCACCAAAAACTAAGTACTTTTGACATTTTCCAACTTTCTAGGTTGAGAAAGAATTATGATTCCGATTTTGTGTTCCACTTACCTTGCAAGCCTTCCAGCAGTTTAGGATATCGAACATGCTCTTCTGTTCCATGCCCAAGCCTCTGATTGTCACCTTTCCCCCAGGAATAGACCTGCCCGTCTTTTGTTAAAGCAACAGAAAACTGACTCCCACAGCGTACTTTCACAACATCCAGGTCCTGAAGCTTTTCTATCAACTTGGGAGTTTTGCAACCATCACTGCCACCTCTTCCTAGCTTCCCGTAATCTCCATCGCCCCAAGACCACACCTGGCCTAGAAAGGAAGACATTGCACTGATCTTTCAGGTAAGTTACATATATTGACAAAAGTGAGTAAATTATTCAAATTAGAGCTTTTGGAAGTCACCTAAATATGACCACATTACGAGTCTCCAAAAAAATGTGGAGTTCACGCATGCTTAATATAGACTTGTTAGAATTTGGCAGCTAAATTCTCTGAGGATTCTGCCTGTACTGAGGATGTTCCAGCCCAGAGATACAGGGGCTAAGCAAGATTTTCCTTGCAATTTCTCTTCCTGGCTGATGCAAGCTGCTGTGGCCCCAAGCACAGGAACTGAAAGCAAGGAGAGGCTCTCCTATGCTTTCAGCTGGTGCTCAGGCAGCAAAAAAGGAAAAGGAAGAAGCTACATCGAAATGCATAGTTGTGAGAAATGGGAGGCTGGATGGAAGCCCAGTGGCAGGAGCCAATGGTGCTCTGGTGAAAGGCAGAGGAGGATAGAGTTATGCCTATCCAAGAGGGATGTGTTACAACTGTACTCTGACCACTTCAAAAAGGTTTAAATCTCAAAAACAGTACTGGAAGTCTAGGTAGGTAAATGATATTTTTGTGAAAAGGAGGAATATACAGCAGAACAGCTGGTGAGCTGAAGAGATGTCTGAAGAAGTCTGAGTAACTATACATCTGGAAAGAGTAGCAAGTTATATAAATTTAGTGCTTAACTTTTCTCCTTTACTAATACTTTCAATTTTTAAATCCGTATTAAAATATAAATAATCACCTAGAGACTATTCTAAAAAAGCACTTTCAGTTTGAGATTCTCTCATAAAATTTGTTTCATGAACGTTCAGC